TAGTGATACCAAATTACTTCCCAGGGTTGTTAAAAAAAAAGTAAAAGAAAGTAGAATTCACAAAGAAAGAACTATAAATGCCGTTAAGCTGCACCATCGCTTTTATGAGAAGAGTCCAAAAGTTAAAATGCCAACACAGAAAGCATTATTTTTACCTGAGCTAAAGATGAAAGGGATACTGTGAATATGAAACAGTAGATAATTCTGAAGCTTCATTCTGATTATTAGTTTTAAACTACTTCCCACTCAAACTTTCATAAAAGTACTACGGAGATTTTTTTTAAATGCTATTTAACTTTTCTCATTGCTCGTGTATTTACTAGTTCACTCTGTTGAACTAGTTTCTGTGTTGTCTATGAGCCAGCAGTATATCTCATTAAAACAGCACCAGATGGTTTTCCTGGAAGAGGAAAGGTCAAGTAACTTGTCCCAAGTAAGAAATACAGCACTATATCCGGAAGGAATTTGAACATTCATTTTTCTCACTTCAGAGCCCATGCTCTTTATTCTTGCCTATTCTATTTCGAGAAAAGGATTTATGGAATAAATGTCCACCAAATCTGTCCCGAAAAGTCATTAGGAAGTCAGGTTGCTCCAAGGATTTTCTACCATGGTCATATGAATTATATCATAGCATCGCTACATATTGCTGTATGCCTGCTTAATGTTTTCTTTCCTAATCTGATTCCTTATATTTCCTACTCTCTCACAAGGCTTCAGTCTGCCAAAATCTACTTCTATCTCATAGCAAAATTTAGCTTCTGCCCTCACTACTTTAACAAATTATTTTGCCTAGTTTGGGGATCTAAGGGAGAATTGACTGGTTCAGATCATCTTCCTACAGGAGGCCATATAGGTCACTGGCCAATTTATATGATTTGATAACTATTGTCACCTCCTAAACACTCAGCTGTGGCCGAGGATGGACAAGGCAGGCAGCTTCCCTAAGAGAACTGTGGTGTTTGTAGGTAGGTGAGCATTCTGAAGCTTGCCTGTCATGAGTCATTAAAAATCTGCCAAACAAGATCTGCCTTCTTTTCCCTTCATTTGCCTGTTTCCATTAAAGATAGTGCCATTCTTCCCATCACCTGGAATAAATTCTAAAAAAAAAAACTTAAATAGATTTAATTTGGTTGGAAAAGCAATGCATTCACATGGTAAAATATTCAGACTATAAAAGGATATATACATTGGAAATCATCTTCCTACTACTGATAATTCTTAAGGTCCTCCCAGAGGCAACCATACCTAACAGTTTTTAAAGTATTCTTCAGAAAAATTCTTTGTGATGTCCAAACATTTCGCCCACATTTAAGTTTTACATAAAAATGGAATAATACCATAAACTCAAGTGCCTTGCTTTTATTTATACTGAATAGGTCTTAGGAACTATGCCATGTCAGCATATACAAGTTTTTTTTTTCATTTTTTAAAATGGCTCCATAAAACTTCACTGTATATATGTGATTTTGTTTTTTAATCAGTGCCTTTTTAATAGCCAGGTACATTGTTTCTGGTTTTGCCATTACAAATAAGTCACAATAACCATATATATTTACACGGCTGTAAATATGCATCTATAGGATAGTTCTTATAGGAGCAATTTGGTCAAAGCACATTATGTCTTAAATTTTGATAGGTATTGCCAAACTGAGTTTCAAACATGCAGTGCCAATTTCTCTCACTCTCTGTGTGTGAGTGCCCACTTGCCCATATCATCAACAGCCTGTTCTTTGCCAACCTTTCTCATCTCCTCCAATCTGACTGGTAATTTCACTTTTTTTCCCCCTGAGGATCAAACCCAGGGTCTCATACCTGCTAGGCAAATGCTCTGCCACTGAGCTAGATCCCCAGTTCTAATTTCAGTCATTTTTAATCCCCTTTCTCCTTGTCCCCTAGGACACTAGAGTCACTAGTTCTCTGAATTTTTAAGTCTCTTTCACCTCCATCAGTGTCTTGTACTTAAATTTCTATGACCTTAGTTTCAACTTTTATTGCTTCATGTACTGCTTCCTGGTATTTCTCATTCCATTTTCTTCCCTTGCTAATTTACAGATGAGCCCAAAAGTGCCAGATTAATATTTTTCTCACTTTACTTCCAGCCTCAGAAATCCACTGTATTTAGTACCAAGTGCAAATCCTTAACCAGGCATTCAACACTCTCTAGAGCCCAGTCTACTTGGGAACCTTCATACCCATGCAGAAGTTCTACTTTAAACTTCTGCTGCCTCCATGCCATTTGTTTCACCACTTCTCTTCCCCGGGCATTCTCTTTCCTGTTGAAACCCACTTACCCTTCAAGGTCCACTTCTATGAGACCTCATACATACTTAAGACAGTCTAGTCCACAATGCTCTCTTGCCAGAACTCTTAAACCATGCATTGTTTTTGTCACTCAGCTGACACTCATTAACTTAAGAATTGTGTTTGTTGAACTAAGCTATATGTTTCTTAGGAAAAGGAGCCATCCCTAAAAACTTTTTGTCACACACACACACACACACACACACACAACACAGGGTAGGGGACTCTAAGCCTCATATTTTGATATACTCAAACAATTTGTAGATTCAAACAAGACCTAAATACATTAAAAGGAAGAAAAAAACTAGCTAGGTACCAAAAGAAAACATTGCTAAGCCTTTCCAAGAGTTGAAATCCTTGGAAATATTTTACATTAATTTTCCATTATCTATACCAGATGCCAAAGGTGGCTAGCTCCTGAAAGAGCTCAAGAAATCTTCAGGTGTGGCAAGACTTAAAATTGAGAGCTTGCCAATAAGGAAAAGAAAAAAGGAGCCCTATAAAACACCAGCCTAAATCAGGCTCAATACCTCAGTAATGCTACTCAAAATACTGTCACTCGCCTGTTCTACAACTTGTCCTTGTAGTCTTCATTCATGATTGTTTGGTTTTTAAATTCTTTAGACTTATCAAAAGTGGAGGCACTCCAGATCATCCACCCATTTCTTTGCCTACAACCTAATTTTTCTCTGATCCTCAGGGAAAAGGAGGTCTACAGTGAGCTCCATTAGTAGGTGATAAAGTTCAGATTCTGACGTTTTCTCATGCCTGGTGAAATGTCAGTAGCTATGAAACACTACAGACCCTTCTTTCAATAAAGTTTATCTTAGAAATTAAATTATTCCTCTGAGTGAATTTTTTTTCAGCTTTTTGAAATCGTGTGGTCCGGGGTATCCTCAAATTCAAGAAACTCCTACCTTGGTCTCCCAAGTCCTGGAGACCACCGCTCCTCAATTTTTAAAATACAGAACATAACTGTATCTCCTTACATGCACATATGTAGTAAATGTGTACGAAAAGATTTGGGAGGGCACATTTGGAAGTACATACTTCTGAAGGGTGGACTGATATAATTTAGCTGCATTATTTTTTTTTTTTGGTGGTACTGAGGTTTGAACTCAGGGCCTTGGTGCTACAACTTAAGCCACGCCCCAACCTACTAGTTGTATTATTTTAAAGAAATACTCTTTAAAAAGTATAAATTTTATTTTGCTACTCACAATTTCTGCAAGTTTTTCATTAAATTCCATGGTGCAGCTTAATACTCATCTAGGAAGTGTCCTGCCACTGTTATTTCCTATTTTAACCAAATTTCCTGACCAACCTGCTCTGTAAGAAAATGTTGGCGGGTATAAGCGAACAAAGTAAGACCATGGATCAAATTCTTCACTTTTGCCACATTACCCACAAGTTCATGTTCCTTAGTAAAAGGCAATATGGTATTGTAATAAAAGTAAAAGGACTTGAGTTCTAGTTCTGACTCTGCCAAGAGCTGCGAGACATTCATTTATTTAAAAAGGATGAGTTAGAACGAGTATTTTCTGATAAGGACTTACAAAGTCCATTCTAGTGGGGGAAATCTCCCATTTAGGTCTTAAGTTGTGCGAGTCTAAAGGCAGTAAGGTAAATTCCCTTGGGTTAAGCTCTCTGACCTACCATATGCGTGGTATGTGAAGCACACACAGCACATTTCAGGCGCTTGCTCACCAGGGTTGGAATGGCTTTGCCAAGACCAAGTCTTTTCACCCAAGCAGCGTTTCGCTTCTGTTGGTCGTAGCAATGCCTCAAAGTGCCAAACCCTAATTGCGTCCACTCTGGCTAAGCCCTGGGTGAGATGAGCTGCGAAGGTGGAGGTGACATAGTACAGTACCCAGCAAACTTTCCCCCCACCCCAGTCTCCTCCGCCCATCCCCAGCCCGGGACTCCACGCAGGCCGGGACTGTAGTCCCAGCCGATGGCTGGTGGTGGCGCTGAGGCACTCTGGGAATCGGCTGTTCCTCCCTAGCTGGCGGGGACACCGCAGGTCCAACTGAAGTCCACTCTGACCCACTAGGGTTTGCCCTGCTCCGAGTCGCACGCCCTTTTCCAGGACAACCAACTCTCACCACGACGGGCTTCGAGCTCCCCGAGCGGGGGACGCCCCGGAAGTGGAGCGGGGTCACCCCGCCGAAGCGCCTTCCAGCCACTCAGAGCCGGACAAGGGCCCGTGGGGCGTGGCTGGGGGCGTGGACTCGGGGGCGGGCGAGCGGGGGCGGTGCAGCGTAGCGCTTGGGGCGGGGCCGCAGCGCGGAGCCGCGCGTCTGGGTTGCGGCGGGGACGCGCCCGTGGGGAGAGGCGGCTGCGGCTGCTAGTGGGGGGTGGGGGGGAGGAAGAACCGGGAAGGGGGGCAGGGCGGGCGGAGAGCCGTGTTCCTGAGGCGGCGGCGGCGGCGGCGTCTCGGACGACGGAGGAGGAGGGCGGGGAAGGAGGATGGAGCCAGCTGGGGGTTGGGGTTGGCGCTAGCCGCGGCGGCTCGCCTCGCACTGTGGGAGAGCGGCGGCTGCTCTTGGAAGTTGTGGTGTCAGGAGCCGGGCCGGTGCCGCCGCAGCCGCCGCTTAGGGCGGTGGGGAGGAGGAGGGAGCGGCGGGGGCCGGCGGGGGTCGGGAGGGACGGGCAGGGAGAGCGAGCTGGGGAAAACGGAGCGGGCTCTGCGGCGGGCGGGCGGGCGGCGGGGGGGCCAGCGACCGCAGCCCGGGGGACGCGGGAGGATGGAGCAAGTGGAGATCCTGAGGAAATTCATCCAGAGGGTCCAGGCCATGAAGAGTCCGGACCACAATGGGGAGGACAACTTCGCCCGGGACTTCATGGTGAGTCTTTGCCTTCGCTGTCGCCTCATCTCGCCGGCCCCGCAGCCCCCCACCGCCTCTCCCGGTCGGGCCGGAGCTGCCAGCGCTTTGTGTGCGGCAGTGAGGAGAGGGGCGGAGGGCGCGTACCGACCGGGGGGCCCGACTGGCCTCGGAGCCGGCGGGGGGCGAGGTCGCCTCCTCCCGTCTGCGTGCTTTCCTCTCTTCCCGGGCTCGACGGCCCCTTGTGCCCGTCCGCCAGTCTGTCTGTCCGTCCGGGGCGCAGTGGGAGCGGCCGCGGGGCCAAGCTCGCACCCTCCCGGCCGCTCGCGACCACCTATTGTTTCTCGGGCAGGGACGGAGGGTGTGCAGCGCTGGCTGAGCAGGCTGGGGGCTCGCCCGTCGGTGCCCGCCGGCCCTCCATCTGCCCCTCCCGGCAGGGCAGAGGCAGGGGGTCTGGTTGTGACCCGTGGGGCCACGGACGGGGGTGTTGGGTTGGCATTCCCTCGTGGGGTCCTTTGGCTCACGCTGGCCTCCGAGTGGGCAAGGTGGGACCCACGCTGTTTCTGGGCTCGCGCTTATTTTGGCCAACGCTTGTCCATAAGGAGGCTTGTGGTTACCTGATTTCCATTTTCCCCGGCCGGGCTTCCTCTCTCCTGAGACTGGGGTGGGGGTTGTCTTGGGGTCAACGTGACTCTAGGTTGGGGGGGAATCAGTGTTAGTGGGGGTGGTTATTCTGCAGGAAGCTTACTTCGGACTCCCTGGGGGATATTACCCAAGGCGGAGGGGATGTGACTATCACTTCCTATCTCCGGGGTGGGGGTGGGGAACTTGGGAACAATAGTCCTGGTGGGGCGGAGGCGACGATACGGGCTGAAAGCCCTGAACTGGGAGATAACCTTCTCGTCCCCCTCTTTTCCACCACCTCCCCCTTTCCGCCCTCTGCTTGAGTAGGCAGGCTTGAGAGGATTGGTGAGGGTTAAGAGTCTGGTTGGTGAAATTGCTCTAGATAGATCAGTGAGGGGTCACATCCCAAGGCGTGGGACTGGCAGCCGACTTCCTACGTTATCCCCTTCCCCGCCCCTTTTATTTTTCTGCTGGACAATGTTCCCTCCAGGGTTGTTTCCCGGCTTAGGAGGCGGTGGTTGCGGCTGCTGTTCCTACGGATATTGCGCAAGACTGGGGCGTTGGAAACCCTGGAGGTCTGGGGAATGGAAAAGGAAGTGGGACTTTGGGAAGTGGTTGCTCCTTAGTCTTGGCAGGGGTTGGGAATGGCAAATCAGCTAAACATTCGCTCCTGGACGAGGTTCACCTCCACGAAAAATCACATAACCCTGAAATTGGAGTACGAGAAGGATACAGTTAATGTCTTTAAAAATGAATGGGCACCAAGTATTGGTTAGTTTTTGTTTCAAAGTGCAGTGGTTTTCAAGGTGCAGGTGAAAGGACTTTTAGTACTGAAGTACTTTTTCACATTTTAAAAAGATTTCTGTCTAGTAAAGCTTTAGCGTTAAAATTAATAGACCCTCGACCTTACACAATGGTACAATATATTATTGAACTTAGTGAGTTTGCCGCTCACACCAATAATAGAGGAGTGAGGTTTAGTTAATATTTTGTGAAGGCTGAAAAGTGTATATTAAATAATCCAGCTATCCCTTATTTTAAACATTTTCTTAATATTTCAGCTATATGTCTTTTAATCTTAAAAGGGAGAGGACATTTTCCCTTCCTGCTAGGAATTTTGACTGTCATTTTGAATCTCTTGTATCATTTACAATAATTTGATATAAATCCACCCCTTTCCTTTTACTGCTCTGTAGCAAGTAGAAAATACTGTGAGTAGTTAGGATGTTTAAAGTGTTTTTCAGTCTTATTTTGGTTATGGAAGAAGTAGTAGTGTGGTCCCTGGCTGTTTCATGTTTGCATGCTAGCCATTTTGTTATCCCTGGGCACATTCTATCAAGGAGTATTGTTTGGTAATGCAGGCAGTCAGGACAAGTGCCCAGTCCCTGAACTCCAGTACATATGAAGTAGCCTTAGGGTTCGTGCTTTGGGGATGAGTCAGGGAGTCCTATTAGAGATTTCATTTCTCAGGGAATAATGAGTTTCCTTTTTCTCCCATAATACCTAGATATAGCTAGGTGATTCTACATTGGAGATTTGATGACTAAAGCTATTCTTTTATAGTGCCTGCTTTTTTTATTTCCTGACTTGATAAGCAATAGCTATAATTAAGACTGCCTGTAGTTGGTGCTGCTTTTTCTCTTGACTGGAAGGCTGGAAAGGAATTGTGTCCTTCTGTCATGGAAAGAGTACTGGGGCTTGAACTCAGGGCCTACACCTTGAGTCACTCCACCAGCCCTTTTTTTGTGATGGATGTTTCCTAGATAGGGTCTCTTGAACTATTTTCCCAGGGCTGGCTTTGAACTGTGATCCTCCTGATCTCTGCCTCCTGAGTTGCTAGGATTACAGTTGTGAGCCAGCAGAGCCTGGCCTCTGTTAATGTTTTAAATGATTTCATGTGACCATAACTACATACAACCTTTTTATATTCTTGTGTTTTTAAACTTAGATTTTGATAAGTATTTTTCATTTATTACAGCTACTTTGTGATAATTTTAGATGGCTGTATAGTTAACCAGGTGACTATTTTATAACTTTACCATTTCCTTATGGTTGAATGTTTAGTCCACTCAATTTTCTGCTGTTATATGGTGTGATTAACATTTATGCATAAAGCATTTATATTTTTCATTATTGCCTAGTGTATATCTTTCTAGGAGTGGAAATACTAGGTAAAAAGATACAAACATTTATATGTTTATATATAACTTTTTGAAAATTGTTACTTTATACCATAAATTGTCATCAGTGTATGAGTGTTTGTACTATTAATTGCCTTAATCTTCATTTAATGGTTAAAAATGGTATCTTGTTGAATTTAATTTTGTGTGTGTGTGTGTGTGTGGTATGGGGTTTGAGCTGAGGGCTTTGTGCTGCTAGGCAGGTGTACTGCTGCTTGAGCCACACCTCCAGCCTGAATTTGAATTTCCAGATCACTATTGAGGATTGAAAAATTTCCACTTGTCATTAACTATATTCTATGAGTTGTCTGGTCTTGACCTCTTACTAACAACCTAAGTTTGTGCGAACTATGGCACTCAGATTATTGCTCACATGTTGGAAATGTACTAATTTTGCTAATAAACAAATTAGTAAATAAACTGCTAATTTGTGACAGGTACAGAACTTGATCTTTACTATATCAGCTCTTAGACGTTAGGAGATGGCAGACCAATCATGACAAGTCAGTCCGGAAGATGAGATGATACTGATTCATGTTTGACAGGGCTAGATTTTACTCTCATATATATCCGCTGAAGTGGTCTGGTGGAGAGGCGACCCTGGACCATATATTGAGGAGCAGGGTGCCAATACATGATACAGGCTAATGGTGTTGCTGGGATAGTTACATAGGGGTAGGATCGTGAAGAATTTTCCACCTCTACTATATTTAGATTTTTCTGTAAATCCATAATAGTAATTGTGCACAGTTCTGCACTACAACTCATAGGGAAAGTGAAGAGTGTTAGGAGAATGAGTCTAAGATTTCTAGCTTGGTGTGCTATCACCCAACCTAGAAGGTACCATTTGGTAGGACAGAGAAGTAAGAGAGGATAAACAAGTAAAGGGAATGAAACAAGATTGTGGAAGAAAGTTTCAGGGGAGAATAAGTTTATTTTCAGGCATGAGGTGCCCCTGAGGCATCCAGTAAAAAACATGGAACTCAAGGTTATTGACAGGATGGAGGTAAAGATGTAGGTATACACGCATGTAGAAGGAAGTTGAAAGCATCTGAGCAAATAAGCTTATTCCTGCAAGCATATAGAGTGACCAGTTTTAGGTTGAATAGCATCAGTCATTAAAAAAAAAAAAAAGCAGCTGAAAAGGAAATGCTAATGATTGTTCCTGGGAAAGGTGGTCAGCCTGGAGGGTAGGGAACCAGAGATGTCAGAAAAGCCTGGGAGAGCTTCAAGAATGGAGTTGCTACTGCAGTCAAATAATAAGTGTAGGAGGACTGGTAAGGTGAGATTAAGAAAGTTACCCATTCCATTTGCCAATGAGGAGTGCTTTGGTGACTAGAAAAAGCAGTTTGAGATTAGGGTATGGGAAGAGGCCATTATAGTGTCTTGAGTAAAATAGATTAAGTGTAAATATAGTTTCCTTCCATTTATTTATTTATTTATTTATTTATTTTGGCTGTGCTAGGGTTTGAACTCAGGGCCTCACACTTGCTAAGCAGGCGCTCTACCAGTTGAGCCACTCAGCCAGCCCTCCTTCTGTTTACCTGAAGTAGATGATAGAAGCTGAAAGAAGATACAGGTTACAGGAGAGTTCCCCTGTACCTGCCTTTTTAGAAAAATAAGAATATTTTCATATTATTTCTTTTCTATTTTCTTTTGTAAAATGATTAACTATACCTTTAAAAGACAGATTATAAGAGCTTTGTCTTTTGATCAAGAAAAAAACTGAAGTTTTGGATTCAGTGTTTGGGATTGAAATGTCAGAAAACAAAAAAGGAGGGAAGACTGCAAACCTAGAAAGATCTTATGCTGCAGAGTGTAGATAAGTAAAAATGTTCATTGCTTATTCAATATTGTGCCTTGTAGGTTTTTTTAAAGTTAATAATAGTTTTATTGAGTTATAATTACTTGCCATAAGGCTCATTCAGAGTATATAATTCAGTAATTTTTAGTGTAGCCAGGGTTATGCAGTCATCATCACAATCTATTTTGGAACATTTTCATCCCAAAAACCCCATATACATCAGCAGTCACTGCCCTTCTCCCTCTAGCCATAGGTAATCACTAATGCATCTCATTGCCATAGATTTGCCTAATCTGGACATTTTATGTAAATGGAAACATGATATTTGGTATTTTGTGACTGGACTGACTCCACTTAACATGTTTTCAAGTTTCATATTCTGGTGTGGATTAGTAGTACTTTATTCCTTTCTT